TCCGAGTAAGGCAGAGAGTCATGAAAGAAAAGTAGTAAATTCTCTGTAAGGAGAATTGTAGCAGATAGCTGATTAAAGAAGAACTAAAAAGGCCAAGTCTAGACGGTCTTTGGTGCCCTTTGCTATGTGTCAGTACGTGGCGCAGCGTCAGAACTCTCCAAGCGGTGTGGACTTAGTAGCTGTGTTGTTGTGGTTTCGTTTCTTCTTCATTGTTCTCAACGCTGGATTTAGCCGCAGCCTTCTTCAGTGTACGAATGTTAATAACCTACTTTAGAGAAAAATTAAGATACAGGTTTCTTAGAAAGTGCAGATTACTTGCTATTATTCAGGGGCGCATGTCTAGTTGCAGTCCTAGTCATAGAATTTACAGAATGACTTGAATGTTCTTCCCGCTGATACATGTAGACTTTTTAGAGTCCTTCAGCTCCCTTTCGTTGATTTTATACCAAGCATGGAGTTTGGCAGCAGTGATGACACTCTATCATGGACATTCAGTGACCCACGAAAACCAGTTGCCATTTTCTGGAACTCCGCGTGTTTGCAACGCTAAGTTTGGGAGTCATTGGGTCTGCCATGATTTTGTGGCAAAGTCATTCTTTTTACCATGGGTCGATTTATCGACTCTTCCTAAATGTCACTTTTGTCAGTTGTGATTGCGTCTTTCGTCGTTTTATTGATTGTGGGACAAAAACTACAAGTAACGCCGAATGTCGACTCAAAAACATCTCAGCAAAAACCGAGATGTGCTCGGGCTCTTTTTCGTGGAAGGCCTGTATGAAACGCGTGTTCTTCGCAGTTTTGTTATCACCATGTAACCCGCTCGTAGCCCGCTCTGTCTCAGAGATATACGAAGATTTAGAACGAGCTGCATGGTTTAAACTGAAGAGGTTCTAAATGTAGTAAGAACCAAATTGGCAATCGAAATTGTTTTACCGGTGAATGCCGATTTGATTAGTTCCAGGTAGGTAGGCAAAGAGACTTGAACTGTAACACCGCCATAAGATATAAAATTAGTGGCGACAGAAGACGAATATTGTATTTGAAAAAGTTTACAAGTTTACAAGGGTCTCCATTGTACGTAGACATCAACTGGGCCGTTGCTTCTAACGTCCTGACACTTAAGAGGTCTGATTTTTTTTTTTTTTAACAACAACAACAACAACAATTTATTTAAGATTAGAAATATAGCTAAGTACATTGGTTTCTCCCCGCAAATAGCTTATGAACTAATCGAGGTGGGTTATTTGCTAAATAACCAAAACATTCATGTTTTGGTTATTTAGCAAATAACCAAAACATGAATGT